TACAATAAAATAATTAGTTTTTTGTATAAGCATAGCAAGCATTTTTTGGTTATGTTGTTATAGGCGGGGGCATATTTTATGATGGATCATTTTAAATTGGGTGTTGTTTTTGATTTATTTTGTGTGTCCTATAGATATTTTGAAAGCGTGGTTGCATATGTGAGTTTTTTATTTTTGAAGGATTGCTTATGATTTGCCCATCTAGTTTTCTACATGCCCTCTGTTGAACCAATGTATGTTTTGTTGATTGTGTTTGGGAATGATGCTATAAACTTATAAATTACATTTCTTTTTCTGCAATTTCCGTTCATATGGCAGGTTTTGCTTAGTTTTCAATTGCAAGCTAAAGTGGCCGTTGGGTTCATGGAAATAGTTTTATTGTTGTGGTTCGAATGAACGACAACAACAACAACAACGACGACATCGAATAAAATTAATAAAAAATTTCTTATAAGCTCTAGGTATGCTGAAAGGGTGCGCATGGTAGTTTTTTTGCTTTTAAAGCAATTTTTTAAAATGAATTATTTTATGTAAAAATATTGAAGTAAACAAATCATAGGTATAGAAATGATCTGTGTGGAATAGATAAGTATAGAAAAGGTAGGTCTGGTAAAGACCCGTATTTTATTGATCCTGAAAGCTAGGACATATATGTAAGGAAAAGGTATAGGAAAGGTCAGTGTGGAATAGGATAAGTTATCTATTAGTGACTTTCAAACATTTATTTCTTTTTGTGATATCTCTAGATTTGAGACCATTCTTTATTTGCGAAACATTCTAATGCAATGTCAATTAGAGATTTTTTAATATATAACTTTATTATATGAAATCGTTCTGCCCAATCAAGCAGACTGTTTTGCCTGGTCGTTGATCAAAAGTCGACTTTAACCTTTTGACTTGTTTATGTATTATATATTTTTTTAAGGATTCGCAAATGTGATACAAAATACAAAAATATTTCAACATCGCCCCCCACCACAAATTCCTGGATCCGTCAATGGTAACAAGTCTGTTATTACACAATGCAGTTTTAAGCGCATTTTTTTTTAATAATCGCTCAAGGGGTGTTTCTTAAAATTTTTTAACTATTAAAATATTAGAGATTTTGTTCTGTAAAAAGAATAAATACTTTTATAAATATTTATTCTTGTACATGATATACTTTTGTAAATATTTATTATTTTTAAGAGTAGAGTCTTGAAACAACTTGATCCCTTTTTATCAAGATCATAGTAATTGCTAACTAATTCAGCAAGCAGCCTTTCTGCCACTAACTCAATGTTCTGCGTTTCACAATCAATGAATTTGAATCAATTCAAGATTAACGTGTTTTGCCTCCTTTTGCACATTTAAATTCGAATATGCAATTTTTGATTATTTTTTGTCTTTTTTGATTAAATGTATAAATTGTGTAAATTGCAGTGCATGCAAAATCCCGTATTACTTAATACGGGATCTTGCATGCACTGCAAACAACGCAGGATCCCACGTTATTGCTAGATCCCACTTTGCTGGATTGCAATCCCTAATTGCATCTATACACTTGTTGTTGCCCCAAAAACATCCTGGTGGTCCATTTTTTATACATTCAGAATAAAGATAACCTTTTTCCTTTAAAAATAACAAATGGATGTAGATATCTTCTGCCTGAAGATACACAGATCAGTACAGAGTACATAGTTTCACCAGAAAAAGCAGCCAGTTTGTGTGCATTTTTGCTTTTTGGATGTTCAAATACTTTCTTTGTTAAGTGATATGTGGAGAGACCAGTCTCATCAAGGTTATACTTGATAAATTGTTATGATCATTAATAATATTTTCTTTTCTTTAATTTTTTTTTTTTTTATTTTTGAGAATATCAGTATTTTATATTTACATAACTGCAGTTTGTCATCACAATGTTTCTTAAGAAGTTATCTGATCTTTTGCAGGAAATCTGTTTTTTAAATTAGAATTTTCATCTTTATTAATGTGCAAAACTAGGCCAGACTACAGATGTTAAGTGAATCTAGGAAGACCATATCTTTGACAATACTGATCCGCAGCAACAATCATAGCTTCATTACTGTCACTCAACACTCTTTTTTGACCTTTACATTTCTTTGCATCAAAAATATTACTTTTAATTCTCAATCTCAATCAAGTATTAGTATAGAACATTCTTTAACAGCATTATAGTCTTTTTCTCACATTCTAACATAACAACTTCTACTGTACTAACATAATAGCTCCTTCCATACTAACACTAATATACTTGGGTTTTATTATTTTTATTTTAACTTCTTGGCATTTTTAAAATACATTCTAAAATATATATCTGTCTTCTCCCTTTGAAATATAATGCCAGCACATGAGAAAGCGCTGGCAGGGTGGTCATTTTTAATTAAGCCGGCTCCATTTGAAAAATTCATTTTTTTCTGCTATTTAAATTAAAAAAAATTAGCGAAAAAATTGCTTTAAATAAATACTAGATAAAATAATTAAAAAGAGATATTCTAAAAAGCCATTCTTCATAAAAGTTGAACAAATGAAAAAAATTGTTCCAATTTAAAACAAAGCGCTTTTACTTTTTAGGCAAGTGCTTTTTATGTGCTCGCCAAAGTTTGCGGGCGTGTGGGTGAGTGTGAAATGACTTGAGAAAACCTTTAGTCAATATAGCAGTACTCCTAGCATACCAGTTACAACTGATCTAATTGTCAGTTGATGTAATTTGATAACAGTTGATGTAAACACTTCTCACATATTTAGCCTTTTTGCCAATTGATTTAGCAGCACTTCTTGCATGTTTTACCTATTTGTTAGTTGATGTATGTACACTCCTTTTATGTTTTATCTTTTTGTCAGTTGACGTACATGTATTTTAATGGATATATATATATATATATATATATATATATATAGATATATATATAATATATATATATATAATATAATATATATAATATATATATAATATATAATATATATATATATATGTATATATATATAATATATATATATATATATATATATATATATATATATTTATATATATATATATATATATTTATATATATATATATATATATTTATATATATATGTATATATATATATATATATATATATATATATATATATATATATATATATATTATATATATATATATATATATATATATATATATATATACACATAGAGAGAGAGAGAGAGAGAGAGAGAGAGAGAGAGAGAGAGAGAGAGAGAGATATAAATACTCACATTACATAAATAATTTTTTGCTATCAATAATAACACATATAAATAATTTTTTGCTATCAATAATGACACATATCGTTGAATAATCTGCAAACATAGTTAGCATATAAATTTGTTTTTTTTACATTACACATAAAAAATGAAACCAAGAGTTGCATTTTTGACATAAAATCTAAAGTTCTTTAGAGTAAGATTATAAATAAAGTTCTTCACAAAATATAAATATGTTGTATCAGATACAAAATCAATTTTATTGATGTATTACTTTCCTCATTGCAGTATCAAAGTCGAGTGCAAATTTTAATTTGGGTGGCGCCCAAATCGGCGCCCAAATATGGTCAAAGCTGTCGAAAATGGTCTAGAATAGCCTCTGAGTTGATGTTTAAAAAATAAGTAATTATCTTTTATATTATTCATTTTTTTGAATCTTATGACATTATATTAACACTAGAGTTTTAGTTTCATTTACATTTAAGCAAGAATATATAACTAAACAAATATATAATTTATGATAACTAAGTTAAATAGACTTGCTCATGCTTTAAATAGCCAATAGGAAACACTGATTATTATAAAATAAAAGTGTAAATAGGATAATAGCTAGTTAGCGGTCAGTTTAACTAAGTTAATAGTAGTTTATATAATGGCATAAATGCAATAATTTTAATTTCTCTAAATGAGTGCAAATGTGTTCCAGTTCCATCAAAAACATGAGGTTCAAATAAAAGCACTATTTTTTTTTTTTTTTAATTTTATTATGACAATCTTTCCCAATAAATTAAGAAAGTATTCCAAATTAGTTAAATTGAGTCTTTTTTATTCTGTTAAATAGCTATTACTATGTTGTTGGAATGTTGAAAATTCCATAAAGATTTGTTGTTTTTTTTGTTTTAGAGGAGGAGGAGGGGGGAGAAATATGTGACATACTTTTTAGGGGGGTGCAGAATTATGTGACAATTCCTGACAGGAGGTGGGGGGGGGGGGAGGAGATTGAAAATTGAAAAACTTCAAAGATACTATTCTTCCTGTTTCATTTTTTATCTACATTAATGATCTTCCTGACAATTTTACATCTAAAGTGCTAATGATTTCACTTAATACTCCTGTATTGATAATAAGTCTTCTCTTTTTTATTGCTCAAAACAGGCAGCTGTTTTTGACTTTGATCTTACTGTAATAGTGAGATCAAATTCATATAATCTCTGTTACAGATTAGGGCTTGCAGCAGCGTATAAATTTTAATTTAAAAAAAACTTATTTATTGCAATCAACTATTGCAATACTGTCAACATTACTGTCCTTTATTGATAAATGGTAACCCTCCTTAAAAACCTATAACCTTTTGATTATTCTGTCAACCATTTCCTTGCTCTTTAACTCTATTGTTTGTTTACTAGTAACTTCTAACTTAAAAGTGGTTACTTGTTGGGAGTGAATCATGAGAAATATATATCTTCGCTTCCAACAAGACCGCAATAACTAGAGTTGGAAGTTACTGGAAGAGAAAAGATGAAGATTGTAGAGCAAGATAATGACTGACAGACAACTTTAAGGATTGCAATTTATATGAATCAGGAAAGCAAAATGAATTCCAATGAACTCATGTTCTTATTAAGTTAATAATAAAAAAGAGACTTGGACCTTGCAGAAATAATTAATTATCATAAGACATTAATAGTTAAATCAAAGGAAAACAAATAGTGACTAACAGTGAAAAAATATCAAACTAAGATTTGTTTTAGTTTAATCATTGTTATTTTGTAGATGTGGATGAATGCAACTATCTGTGTCAAGGTGATAGTCTTACGTGCAATAACTTTAATGGATCATTTCAGTGTATTTGTCCTGTTGGATTTTCTTACAATTATACAAGCCTCCAATGTGAAGGTATTTCCTAAAGAAATTTAAAATTTTTTAAAAAACTACATTTAAAAACAATGAAATTTAAAAACATTTTGGAAATGCGATGTTAAAAATTGTTTGACATTAGTTTTTTAGATGTCAATATGCTGACAAATAAAGAGTTTGGAAAACATTTACATTATAAGTGGTATTGAGCATCTTAAAAATCCTTATTAAAAATAAGTTAAAAAAACAGAAATAAATCATTCTAAGGCGCTCATTTTAAATTAGTGATATTTTCCACAAATGTTTGAAATATTTCAGTAGCTGAAACATTTATTACCTCCTGTAAGTTAATTTTTGATATATATTCAAGTTACAAATAGCATAGTCTTTGTCCATTAAATGTGATACAGCCCTAAATCCCTACTGAACTTCATCCCCTCTGTAACTAAGGTACAATTGTGTCTTTTATCTATTACTCTATTTTATTAAGAACAGATATACCTGGTATATACAGAAGTATAGAGAACAGTAATAGTAATTAGAGAACATTATAGTATATATAGTACAGTATTAAACAATATATAATAAGACAATGGTATATACAGAATTGTTTTTTTCTGACAAATCTGTATATACTATTATCATTAGTTGTTTTTCTAGGTCATTCCCAGATCTCATTTTGTTTAATGTGCTCCCTGTTTTTTTGTCCAATGTGCTACCTACTTTTTTCTACTTTATTACTATTTTTTCTACTTTATTACTATTTATATATATATTTTTTTGGTTTTGTCAGAATTTCCCTAAAGCTTAAACTTGTGCCTGCTTTTTAAATATATATATATATATATATATATATATATATATATATATATATATATATATATATATATATATATATATATATATATACATCTTTTTTTATGTTATTGTTTACATTAAAAATCAGTTTCATATTGAATCTAAGTTAATATATATATATTTTTTTCTCAACAATTTTGTATTTAAACTTATGTGTTTATGATAATTAAATAGCTCAAAAAGTATTTTATTGTTTTTCAATATAATAGAAATATGAACTTTATAAAGATAGTAAAACCCTTTTATATTATTAAATCTCATTTATATAAACGGATATGTATTCATTAATGATGCAATATAGTATTTTATTAATTCTTAGATTAAATATTTAATATATAAATAAAAATGATCTGAAATCAAAGACATTATTGAGTTGTTATCATTTGGAATGAATCATAAAAAAGTTTTGAAAACTTGAATGTAGAAAAATCACTATTACTGGTTTTTTGAAGATGTATTAGGTGATAGGAAATACAGCCTGTCAGTCAAGATCAAAAAAAAAAGAGAAAAACACACACACACAAAATAGATGCATTGTTCAAGCTGCCCTTAAAGTTTGCTACATTTCTACAGATGAGTTAAAAGCAGATCAGAAAAAGAAGTTTTTTTTTTGGCCCTGACTGAATGATGAGCTTCTATTTTTAGGAGCTACAATTTTTAGGAGCTGCAATTTTAAAAGGCATCTTGAATAATGATGCATCTATTTTCTCCTATGAATATGAAGTTGTTAAGAAAAGAAGAATAAGATAAACTTTTAAGATTTAATATTTAACCATTTAAAGATTAAAATAAGGTAATATGAATCATATATATTTTATTTTTGCAATGAGTTTTTGACACTCACGTAAGACATTAGTAGTTTAAACAAAAAATTAACAATTTATAACTAAAATTTAAAATAGGTTATTTAATTTTGTTTTTATTTAATCTTATTTATGTTATGTAGATGTGGATGAGTGCACCTACTTGTGTAAAGGTGATAATCTTACATGCAATAACTTTAATGGATCATTCCAGTGTGTTTGCCCTGTTGGATTTTCTTATAACTACACTAGTCTCCAATGTGAGAGTATTTTTTATATAAATTTTGAAAAGAATTTAATACAATTTATCTTCTTTATTTTCTTTCTTACTGTAAATGTTCTTTTTTATTCCACTTTACTGAATAAATACTAATTTATGTTTGAAGGTGAAGATGAGTGCACAAAATTGTGTCAAGGAAATTTTACATGCATTAGCAAGAATGGATCATTGCAATGTGTTTGTCCAGTTGGGTTTATATACAACTCTATTAGTTATCTGTGTGAAGGTTTGTATATATCTTTTAAGATATGTTTTTAAAGTTAATGTCACATTTGAAAATTATGGATTCTAATACCCAGTAGAAAAAAAGTCATTGAGACATAAAAATTTTCTTTCTTTTGGATTTTAATGTCTTAAAGAGGACAATTCTAAAAATTCAAAATATTCCACATATTTTGAGGCACAGCTGAGTTAGGTTGAGGATAGAAATCTTTTTATTCATTCATGTCTTTAAATTTTATTGTTTTTGGTATTTTAAAAAAACATGGTTTTGTATTTTATGTTATAATGTATTTAAAAGTTTTTTCATATGTTTTCACTGTTACTGTTGTTTAATTATGACAATATTTATTATATTTTTTAAAGTTTCACACAATAATCAATGCATACATAATTTAACTGATATGGCCACATTCATAGTGTACTTACATTCATGGACTGACTTTAATATGTATAAAGGAAAAATCGACTAAAATTCAAGTTAACTTATAAAAAGTCAAATAAAAATTAAGTTAATTAAAAAGTTTCAGTTTATGTTAAGTTGGAATAGCTGCACTAGAGTGTTTTAGGCTAGGTACATTTTTAATCAATAGAAAAGATTTTCTAGTTTTAACTCTTGAAAACTGAATACCCCAGGTTTAAAATTTAAATCAACTATTCTGGAAGTATCACAATTAATTTCTCCGTCTAGTGACCATGCAAACATTGAATGCAAGCTCCTGCATTGAGGTCAAACCTGACAGCTACAAAAAAGTAAAAATGTCAAAATGATATTTACAATTTTCATTAGGACAGCAAAAACTTACAGTGCGCCAGGTGGTGGACAGAACCTAAAAAAATATTTATCATATTTAAAACAATACAATGCTCTATTGTACTATTTTAATCGTATCTATAGTATTGTAGAGTATAATAGTATCTTTTAAAACCACGAAAATCAGACATGGTTTCATGTATAATAAAAAATTTTTTGTTTTAAAAATGTAAAATTTTTATGCATAGCTACAGTAACCAGTATACTTTTAAAACTCTATGGGTATACAATTTTTTTATATATTTAAACTATTTAATAGTTTAGCTTTATGAAAAAAGTATAAACACAATTTCTTTGAAATTCAAGTTGTTATTTTAGGAACCTATGAAAATTTAAGTGTTTGAACTAGTTAATGGAAAAAATCTTTTTAAACTTTAACACTGTCCCAAATTTTTCATTTTGGGTTTTTTAAACATTTAAAAATCATGAGTTTTAACTTATGTTCATCTAAACAAAAATACATGTCATTTTGTTTTATATAATTCAATACAAATTGTACTGTTTGCTTGATATTTTTTTTTTAGTAATTGTATAAAAATTGATGAAATTCACAGACTTATATGACAAAAACTAGTTTCTGTTGATATTTAATTGGAGAATTTTAAGTGCAAATGTATGTAGTGGTAATAGAACTCAGTGCTTCTTGCTTATCCCATCAAATTAGGGGTAATGATGAATTACTAATTAAGGAATGGCTACATACTACCTTTGTTCACTATGACACCAGTGCATATATTAGAGGAGCTTGTTATTCAGTTCCACTTTCTAATTTGAAATTAAAAATCTGTAAACCTCTATACTTAAATATTTATAAAGTTTGTTATATAGTTTTCAATATTTGCAATAATTAAACAAAAATTTACAATAAAAATAAATATATCTTAATACATAGTGATTGTTTTGACATTTAAAAGATTTAAAAAAAAATCATAGTAGACAAAATAATTTTGTCTTCCATATGACTAATATTCGGCCCACTATATTGTGCTTTCCAAGACCATCCACTAGGCTGATATTTTTTTAGCATCAGTTACAAGCCTTGTTTTAAAGCATTACGCCTAGAACGATTTGCGTATGCCTTAAGCAATTTTTCAGTAAAACTTTTTCAGTAAAAACTTTTAAAAAATCTATATTCCAAATTATTTAATGCAGAATATAAATGTTTTTTGCAATATAGATTTTAATTGAGTTTTTTTACAGAATTTTTATTTAAAACATTTGCAAAAAAATTATACTTAAGTATTCACATTTTTTTAATAATATAATAAGTTTTTTTTAAAATATTAATATAAAATTTATTAATATCTCAAAAAAAATGTCTTAATATTTTTGTTATCATGATAACAAAAATATCAAGACATTTTTTCGAGATATAAAAAAAAATGTGCTAATGAATGAACATCAAAAAAAATTTTTTTTATTGTATTAAAAATTATTTCTTCATTAAGTATTACTCTTTGCTTTTTTTCTTCGTTAAAGGTACCTTTACCTATAAGTTATGCGGGAGGAGGGGGGGGCGGCATAAAAGGAAAAAAAAATTACCTGTTACTCGCAATTTTTGAATGACAATTTGTTAAATATCTTCTGCTTGCAATTCAATAAGTTTTTTTTTTTTTCATAAATCAAGTTATACTTTTAAGTTAAAAAAATCATGAGTAGACTATAACATCCACTGATGACACTAATATTATGTTGAGTATATTTATATAACAGAAGTTTCATTATGTATGTGCACATTACAGACTCCGTTAAATAAATACTAAAGTATGTTTTAGTTTAATGACAGTATCTATTCTTTACTAATGACTATGTATTTTTCTATATAAAATAAGACAAACTAGTATATTTCCATTCTCTCCAAATTGATTAAATTTCGATTATGGATTGTATTTTGAAGGACAAAAGATTTACTTTGAAAACTTTTAAATCCTGGGACTTTGCTGATGCTTTTCGAATTGAAACTATCACAGAAAAATAGAAGACTTGTGTTATTAAAATCAAATGTAAGTTATGTGATCTTCATTAAAATAAATAATTATCCAAAACCAATGGTGCCGTATGGGCAGCTGCCCTACGGTTTATAAATGACACAAGTCATGTTAAAATATTTTAACATATTGGTATATTTTATTTTAGTTGGTATATAAATAAAAATAAATATATTGTTCAATAAATAAATTAAATTTGTTCTTAACAAAGATTACCTCATTTATTCTTTTTTTTATTTTATTATTCTAAACTAAATTGCTTATAAACAAATAAAAAAATAAAGTTTTTTAATTATACATAGAATGAAAATACTTTTGCATTTGTTTTTAAGTTAAGGAACTTAATTTTTAGCGAACAAATTTTAACGAATGTTTATTATAAACAGATTATTAAATATACTTATTTTGTTTTATTTGAGTATTTTTTTAAGTTTGCATGATTATTGCGTAGAAGTATTAAAAAAGTTTCTTGTTTTTAAAATAATTAACAAATGGGCTCGCATAATTAAGACTTTTATATATAATTGAATATTTTTTTTTTATTAATTTCAAAAAATTAAAAAAAAAATTTAATCGTTAAAAACAATTTTCCACCATAGCTCTGTGTTTCTTTGTGATTTGTTTACAAAAAAACATTTTTACGATAACGTAAAACATTTATGAATTAAATTCCTGGGGAACGCGTTCTAAATTACGTATCAAAAATATGCTCAAAGCAGACACCAATAAAATAATTAACAAGGGTTTTTGTTCATCAATATGTTAATTTTTTTTTTTAATCTCGAAATTTTTAAAAATAAAAAATCATTGTAACAATTTAAAATCAATAATTATTTGAAAACAAATTTCAGAAATAATTTAAAATATATATTTTTTTAACAAAATAATATTGAACTAAAATTAATATTAAAATAACAATTGGAAACATAACAAACTTTTATAATATACTTTACATTTTATTTACATTTGAAACGTTTTTAGTTATTTGAGTTAATTGTTAAATTGAATTAGTTAGCGGTTATTTATTTATTG